ACACGAAAGACCTTATTTTCTTATCCCGATCTCGCCGGCTGGAACTTTTCAAAGTTCCCTCCGTGAGCGGCAATCGAGCCGATTTATCGATGCTTGGACAATTAAGTCGCGTTACGTTATGTATTTACGAGCAAGTCGCGCGACAAGGTCGTCATAGGACGCCGCGGAGCATTGCGTGCCGCTACGACGAAATGCACGAAGCCCCGCGAAACTAGGAAGAACGTGGAAAAGGACGCGAAGAACGGTTCGCCACGGGCTAAACAAGGACGGACGCATGGTACACAGACAGCGGTTCGTACTCGACTACGTTCGTGTGCCTTCGTCCGCAAATCGTGTACGTCACGTCTCGGCCGGCCAATCAGCGTCGAGCTGGATGACTCATCCAGTCGAGCCTCATGTAAACTCTCTCGTGCCGCTTAGCCAGCAGTCTCCCGCCAACAAGCAAAAGGGCAAGCGCCGCTTTTGCCACGTATCTCTCCCTGTTTCACCGTGAACGCGTAAACACGCTTTTGTCGTGGTGTCGTGCTGCCTTGGAGGAACATTCACGCCGTCCAGGCTTCGTATCGTCCGGATAACTCGCATCGGACAGTTGACGATCGTCACACGAGAGGGACAGTCTCTCGTAATCGTCGTTTTGCGTAACGCAACACCGAAAGTTTCGTCGAGTGTGATCGAGCACCAGGGACTCTTGTTGTTTCTTGTTGTGCGCGTGTGTGTCAAATGGTGAGGTGAGAGCCGTCCGAGAAAATCGTGGAGGGAATCTCGCACAGCTCGAACATGAGAATGAAGAAGGAAGCACCGTGCCTCGTGCTGAGGCTTGTCCCTCTGGAGAATCTCGAGCCGTGGGGTAAGAGTCTCTCTCTCTCTCTCTGCGTTTGTCTTCTCTATGTTTTCGTTAATGTGAGTCATTCGAGGCTCGGCGCGCGTGAGCTCCATGCTCCTCGATCTCTCGGAGACTGGACTGTGTCTCGTTCGCATGTTCGTGTTTTTGTCAGTAGGGTTGCTCGACATTTCACCCATGAAAAAATTCTATTCTCGCGTTCCATTATGCGGTTAGAATTCGGCTGGAAAAATAACGCGGCGTGCATATCTTCGAACGGAGATCTCCGGTACCAAGCAGTGTATTTTTATTTACGAGTTCCTCGAGAATTCTTCGTTATTTGCTATCGACCTCCGAAAGCAAAGGAAAGAAAAAAATAAATAAATGGCAAATCGGTGCATCATTGTTTTACAATCGAATACTCGACGCGCCATTTCTTTTATCAAATTCTTTTCGTCAAGGAAAATAAGCAAACCACCGCCAGTTTAACGGTCTAAACCGCGTTTACGAGCAATTTGTTCGTCTCCAGTCGCATTTACACCCTCGGTCAACCAGATGCCACTGCTAGCGCGGTTAATCGCACCTCTCGTGATTTATTGGTTACCCATGTTCCATTTAGTCGTTTAATTCCCAACGTCATCCGACGACTATGGTCAAAGGTATTTCTGAAACGTCCACAGCGGCGGGAGAATACAAAGTCGAACGTGGTACGCGGGTAAATACAATCTCTTACGTGGATGACTCAGACCTTGGTATCTTAGATTTAGGCGTAATGCGTGTCCGATGACTCGTTTCGTGTTAATCTCGTGTATGGTGGAATTACGGATTCCTCCGACGCGTCGTATTGAAAACGATACCCCGTGTTGCTGAATCGGACGTATGTCGCTGCATTAAATCGCACCGCAGATAAGCGTTCGTCCGACGTGACAGAATTCTTTTCGTTGTTCCAGGTCGGTAATGTCGTTTCGCCAATTCCGAGCCAATGAACGCGTATGAAGATATTATTTATTTACCAGTGAACGGTATCGATGTTGGATAATCGTTGAAGCTTTTGCGGAAAGCTCGGGTTTCCGGGGGATTAATTAGCGTCATCGAATTCGAACGACTAGAAAGGAAAGTAGGGTGTAAAAAGGAAAAAATTGGCGTCCCATAAAATATATACGGTGGGCAACGAAATGCGCGGCAACCGCCGTGGTGGAATGTGGGTCACTTCATTTAGGTCGTTATAACAATCAACTTCTTCGAGGTTCATCGCTCTCGTTTCACAGGTGCCAGAAAAATATCACTCCCCCATCGTTACGTTAAGGTTAACCTCTACCGTCGTGACGTTATCTTCCGAACTCGCCGAAAATTGATATCGA